AAGTATCGAATGAGAAAAAAGGCATTGTTATTATTTACAACGATATGGTCCTTAAAAAATAATAATAATAATCAATACATTTGGGACCTTAAAAATGCAATGACATGTAAAAAAATACTGATCTACCTAATCTATTTAAAAATAATTGCCAAGTTTTATTTAACGTTTAGTAATTCTTTCGATCTTCATAAAAAAAATTTTCTTTTAGTAGTATTTATAGGATCTACATCAATGTTTCATTGGAATTGTCAAAATTTGTTTTACTCTCTATCAATGTTAAATAAAAATTAGTTATAAATATTCAAACATGGCATAGTTTTAACTTAAATAGGACCTATTAGATAAAAGAAAAAAAAGACATAAGTTTGAATAATAATATTTACTAAAAATGTTGACGTTTTGTTATAATGTAGGAACATATTTTCATTTCTAAATCTGTAATTTTATTTTAATCCTAGATACAAATGGTTTTTATAAAATTAGACGTGTGATAATTTTAGAAAAATTGATTAATCTTTTTATGAAAGTTTTATCGAATGATACCTGTAAATTTTAAACTTGAAATTACCTTACATACCTTTTCAATACTGATATTAAACATTCAATACATTTTAAGTTCTGTTACAATATAGTTATTCAATTTCATTTATAAGTTGTTATAAAAATGACTAGGATTGATTTTAATTTTACTTTATGTAGGTTAATGAAAACCTTTAACGTATGATGAAAATAATATTTATATATTATTGACTCTTGGGAAGTTCGATTAATGAAATTATATCGTTTTATTGATACAGGAATTCGGGGAATATAAAGTTATATTTTTAACTTTTAAAGTAAATTATATGAACTTGGTCCTAATAAATTATAATATTAATTGCTCAGTCATTTAGACATTAGATAAATTTATGAAAATTAAAGGTACCATAGTGGTAAAATGAATTCCTCATAATCATAAATATCAATTGATACAGTAAAAATAAATTTGTTTCTCATTGATTTCATATTATTATTATATTTTATATTTATATTATTATACATTTTATACTTATATATATATTAAATATATTATATATATAAATATTATATTATATTATATTATTTCAAATATGTACTAGGTAAGATATTTTAATATATAATTTATATTATTTATTTATAATAACCATCAAATGTACAACAAAGATTTTTTCAATAAAAAATTACTACCTCATATTTTTGGCAACTTTTTATTTACATGATTATATAGGTCTCACGAGTCTGTCATATTATAAGAATGATTCATATGAACAAACTGGGTTATAGTCCAATAATAGAGGTTTTATGAATAAATGTATAAACAACAATGTATTTGTACAATTGAATGCCTATATTCAAAAACATCAAATTATCTCAAAAAAAAATTATATTAAATTATAAATCCTTAAATCTAAAATTTATATAACAGTTAACTAATTATCAACGTTTTATAATAGTATTTATGATGTTTTTCGTGTAATTACATTGCTCTTATTCAAGATGAGTTTATGACAAAATTTATGCGTAAGTACATAATACAATTGCATATAGACCTATTTCTCAAAACTTTATTGTAAAAAAAAAAACGTTTTCATTTTTCCATTTTATATTAAACAAAATATGAAAAGTTTGAAATTCTACCCCAAAAATTCATTATATTTTTAAATTCTTTTGTTATCATTTTAATTGTTTTGTTTAATTGACCTTGGAAAAATATAAACATAAATAAACATTCATCCATCAATTTAAGATGAAACTTTGTCATATAATCTTAATAATATGTATGTTAAATTACAATTATACATATGTTGTATTAGTTTTGTAATAATTTAATAATCATAGTATTTTTATAAATTATTAAGAATTTTTTATTACAGACTTCTGGAATAATTTTATTTAAAAAATATTTATAAAAAACTCAAAATTAAATGGTAAAAATTTATATTAAGACTTTAATTCATAAATACTGATTTTTGATTAATAATACACTTTTAATTAGCATTAATATATATTAGTTTAATTATATATATATATTTGTTTTACCTCTATAATATGACCACATATACCTTACAAAACCATCGAATGACAATAAACTGAAATAACTTTTGAGAAAACTTTTAAAATAATACCAAAAGAGATCATTTTCTTACACATCTCTATTAGTACAAAGGTCTTGGTTAAGTTTTAAACTACCATTTTTACGATTGTTTTCACAAAAAGCTCATGAATGGCCTTCAAAGTTCGATATAAAAGCAATACAAAATTCGTATTGTTAGACTTAGCTTTACAGACACAATTCAAATCGTTTTATCTTTATAAGAAATCGATCAACTTATGAATATTTTAATTATATATGAATTACAAAATCATGAAATATATGCACCAATTATGTTCATCGGGTTGTGTGCATCGATGAAAAACTCAAAGCAATTATATTATAATATTAAAAAATGTATATACTTCATTCATTTCATTTTAAACACGAATTATAATTTAGTAATAAGCTTGTAAATAATGTTATGCAGATAATCTTAAATTAATAGAATAAACATAATTTTGAATTAAATTTTACTTCAAAACTATTGTATGTTGACGACGTAACATGCAATTTATTATCACGTTTGATAGTAATAATATACGGTAATATACGTACAAATATTAAATTTGATTCGGTAAAGTACCTCCTGCTTCAAAGTGGCTAATGATATAACATACAAATTATTTGCGTAAAATTACGCGGTTTCTTTTAATATTATTATATTTATTTTACCGATAAACTTTAAACATCGAAGTGATGATGAAACAATACGAGGGGAACAACTATACTGTATGGTCTTATAACTGAACAAACCAAGTCCGCCCAGACGAAAATGTTCGTCTTCAGAAATATTGTTCTAACTTAGACGATGGACATACTTGGATGACTTTGAACTTTCAGATTATACTGATATCAAATAATTTACACAACACCCAAAAACTTCCGCTAGATTCCGAAACATGTCAACGGTTCCAAATTAATTTACCAGTAAATTTCTTTGTTCAACGATGTTATGCATGCCAACATTTAAATACGAGTATCCCCCATCACACGGTTGTGAAGTGCATTGATATTGTTTTATTATTAAATACAATATTTCTATGATACATTTTCAGAAATGTTTACCAGAATCAATTTAATAAAAGTGGAAAAAGATATCTTACACGCACGTACATATATAAATCCATAAAGACATAATATATCATACGCGTCACCTTTGCATTACACGGAGTGTTTTCGTAGTAATAACCAACAAAAACTATTTAAAAAATGAACATGTCAAATAAAAAACAATAATTCTCTTTTAAATTACAATTTCGCTGTAATTTTTCATCGTATAAATAAAACGGCTATCCTTTGTATTATATCCATATTGCAAAACTGTAGCCTGTTTATTTTTTCTCGCTTATTTCATCTTATGCTCGTAGTCATATTTCACCCGACCGAAACATTTAACAGATTAATGATTTATGATTGCGCAGTAATGTTTTATTTTTACTTTATTCCTCTGCGTTACGTTATCCACAAAGTTGATTTTCTCGACATTAATAGCCTTCGTAAAACTCGTCTTGCACTCGACAGCTGCTGTTTATTTGTAGATTGGTTTGGAAACAGACCGAAATAATCATCGGTTTCTAAGCTCCGAATGCACGTATACCGACGGGGCGATAAAATTCGAAATGAAAACATATTTGTTCGAAGTACAGATTTTAGCGTAAATATTTTATTATATTACGTGATACACAACGCAGACACAATAATATCACGATTGCGATGATTTAGAAGCGAAATTCGTTCGGATCGTTTGGCCAAGACGATAATACAACAAAGTTATAAGATTGTTGTAAATCGAATTTCGCGCGAGAGTTTTACTTTTGTATATTAACTTAGAACTTAACTTAGAACTTGGCGACGATCCAACGGAACATTAAATACCGCATCGTTATTTTACGGTTATTTTTTTTTTCTTCGCCCATTCCTGCACCAATCGCCCCCCGAGTATAAAACGTATATATTTCGTAAACACGTATAAGACGTTTACAAGGGTGAATGGAGGGAGGATTTACAAGAACGGAAACAGAATACGTACAATGAACTGTATAATATACACACTGGTTTATTGTGTACGCATTGTTGGCGTGCGGTGTGCGGTGAAGAGTCGGTCGCACAACGACGAGAGTGGGAACGTTATCGAGGGAAACGTTCAAGTGGGATACCTGAGGCAGATAGAGGGGAAAAATAGGAAGCAGAAATAGAGAAAAAAAAACATCTTGTCCGATCCGGTATGGTACACGATGTGGGTATAATACAACGTTCGGATGTCAAGTGACAACAATATGTTTTCCGTTGCGTAATATCATCGACGAAGACGACGGCTATTATTATTTGGCACGCGCTTTTTTTAGGTGAAGGTCGTCGTGTGGGAAATCGCGGGAAACGTACCGCGACAAATCGTTTGGCACCTAGTCCGGTATGTATGGTCAAGGTGGTTGTGGCGCTCCAGTAACCTGATGGTCGAGGTTTCGGGACGTCGGACCGGGAGGTTCAGGAAATTGAGGGGAGGATTTTTGGTTAATTTTGATTTCTAATTCGTTACGGGGCAGTAAATAAACGTGGTCGACCTTGACACAACCTTGCCGTATCGGATGGCTCGCGGGACCGTTACGACAATCGTGAAGTCGGCGCGCAACGGTCGTAATTCACAACGCACACTAACTAATTGGAATTCCAACGTGCGGGACTACCACAAGACGATACGCCGTACTGCAGTTATCGTCATTACGTGATTGCGGCTGTCTAGGTTCGATTCGGTGACACCTGTACCTCTGATAACGGATGGGGAACGCTTTCCTCGTGACGGATCGGGCACACATTTCGCGCGCCAATCGTCCTACAACCTAAACACGCGTCACGAGACCCGGAGACGTCCGATCGCCGCCGGCCATACCACGATAAGATATTGATGATCCGCGTCGGTAACCAACCTGTCTCGTCTTCCGAGCGACCTCGGTGCACGCGTATTGTTTGCGATATGCGTGTACGCTTGGTGATGGTACGCGCGCTCGTGCTTGAATCACCCGCCGAATGGGCTCGTCGCGTCGCTGTTCCCGCACGCAGCTGATGCCGTCGCTACTCCGGTCGTCGCTGACCGTGCCGTTGCTGCCGGACTGCGACGGTGGTACCGCACCGGACCGCGGTGGCCACCACGACCACGGCGGTGGGTGGCCGGCATCACAGTTTCACGCGTACGCGACGCTCGTGGGCCGCTCCGCTGGTCTCGCGCGCTGCGACGGGAAAGAGCGTATCACGCGGACGCGGGACGGATCGTGGACATCGTCATGCGCCGTCTCACAGCGGATCGGTACGGCACACGCGGAACACGGAAAACATCAAAACACGACGGCACGATGACGTGGCACAAGACGTTTGTCCCGAATGGAGGATGAAGAGAAGGAGGAGAAGAAGGATGACTGGGTCAGGAACGGCAATGCCGATCGGCGCGTCGAGAGGAGATGGACAGAGAGCTCGCGGAACAGAACGCGCGTGTACTCGGTGACTCGTGGTTCGGAAGCGACGTACACGTACGGCACCAATGGGCGAAGCGCACAAGACCACGCGGATGTTCGGCTGAACGCGGACTGACACTGTATACCGTACGCGCTTAAGCGCAAAGTCCGTGGCGCGCTGGTGCGTGCGCGCGAGTTCAGAGTCGGCGCCCGCGCGTGTGTGCGAGCCGGTCCATTGCGTTAGTGCTGGTGTCCGCGTTGGTGTTGGTGCCCGTGTACGAGAATGCGCGAGCGCGTGCGCGCGTGTACGGGTGATCCGTGTGCATAGAATTTCGGGTGTGTGCGTGTGTGACGACGCTCCTGTGCGTGGACGTGACCGCGACACCAAATACAAGCGCGCGCACGCGCACACGCGGACACGACGCGGTCTTCGAACGGTCGCGCAGGCTCAGTGCGCGCGCCCTCCCCTCCGGTAGCGGCAGTACCCTCTCCTACAGTTCGGAAGCGTTCGCCATCACTTCTCTTCGACCACGCGCACGCCGACCCATCTAAATATTTTTAAACACCGTCAACCGCCACCCTAAGCCCGACCTACACGACTCGCTTGGCTGAAGACTAAACAAACAAAATTATAATAATAAAAAAACAAATTTAAAATGTACCCGGTAGCGTTCGGATGCGGTCGTCGTAGACGGTGCTTTTTTGCCTGCGGTCACCCTGTACACATCGTATAGTGCGCGGTGGTTACCGATCGACGCCTAATCATGGTTTTCAAGGAATGTCGGTATCCCTACATCTTATACATCTTATAAACGACGCGACACGTATTTTTCGCCGGTAAAAAAAAAAAAAATAATAAAATAGTCAGATGCGATTTCAAATGACGTGAATCCCTCTCATTCCTTTCAGCGCGCGAGTTCACCGATTTTCCACGAAAACTGAGAAAAAGCGGATATCTTCTTACAAAAAAAAAAATATATATATATATAAATAAAACAGTCTTTCGTATAACGTTACTAATACATGTATTTCATCCGTGAAGATTTTCCCAGCCGACCAAAACACATTTTGTAACCCTTGAGAGTATAACTTGTCAAACATGTACGTCTCTTGGAGTTTTCGTGTTTAAACGACGTAAAAAAAAAAAAAAGTAATAAAATAATAATTTATTCGTGCAGTTGCACCATAACAGTCGTAATCATCAGATATACGGATATTATTGTTGTTCGGATAACGGAACGTACTTGTTGCTAACTGAAATAAAAAATAATAATAACAGTGTTAACTCATAGAATCATCGCTACGCGACAGCGGACCAGAATCATAAGAACGGTATAAGTTATGGGATGCTCGTCGCGTAGGTTTGTTTTGTTAGTCCGGTACTAAAGCGGGTTGCTCTTCTAGACAACCTTCTGGTAACCTTCCGTCCCTGTTGCAACGAGGAAAATGTAGAATAATAAAAGGAGTAGGAGTACGGACGATCATTAACCGAATGACATTCGTGTATAATGCGTGTTATAATAGGGATGATGGCGCGTGTTCACCCAATAAAAGAGCTCTAGATTTGTTTACTACCAAAAGTGCATGGCCAACAGTATTTCGGACAGATTGGACGTGGTTCGTGTTTGAATTTTTATAATAATATAATATTCGATGACCCGACAATACACTGAACATGTCATATCGCTGACACCAAGTTCACGGATCAAAAACATACGACAAAAATTATTATGTATATTGTTATACGTAATTCCGCAAATTACAATTATTATTATGATTATATTTATGTACAATATATTTAGAGTTTTCGAATTATTATCATCATAATAATAATGTAATATCAGAAATTCTTATTTGTAATAATTATTGTACCGCCATGTGTCGTTTTCGTCTTTAATAAAATAGGCATTGTTTGGATATTAATTATTTAAATAAAAAATGTCAAACCGTGTTCTTTGATAAAATGTTACTGTTATTGTACGCTAGGACTACTGTTTTTCGTACGGTAAACATATTATGTTTCGTTATTTATTTCATAATATCTGCAGCCCATCCACTAACTGACGTGGGGGCGGTTAAAAATACTATCACAACACATGTTAATACATTGGTCGTACAAATCTAAGAGGACGGGGGCGCACGATTTCCGAGGGAAAAATATGAAGACGTATTGTTATGATAACAAAAGTTTCGGAACAAAAGTGTTCGCCCAACCGTAGATAACGGCCGAATATGTGGGATGTTATCAATTAGTGCTGACAGCAGCCGAACAACGGAATAGAACGAGTGCGTGTACGATAACGGCTTGCAAAGTAAACAGTCATGTCATGGACGAGAAAGCCAAATGGATAAGGAAAATACTACGAAACTTCTCTTATATTCTCTAGGAGCACCGATCCGACGTCAGTGAAACATGTAAATATTATGCTTGAGATGCGGCCAACATTGTTTTAAGTACGGAATAATTCCGAAATAGGTCAACAAGTTTGCTGTTATATGCGCAATTGAGGAATTATTTGTAATGTTATTCTTTTGCTGTAATTTGTTGTTGTTATTTTTTATTATTATTCGGACAGAGTACATAACCATACATCGAAACTATATAATATGATATTGCGCAGTAGAAATTCGAACAACGTTTTGGCTGCTAATTTTATTTGCGTACCATAAACCACTATAATAAATTAAAAAGTAACGAAAAATAATAATAATAATAGTTATCATAACAATAACATAGTAAAATAATTTCTAATGGACTGTAAATTACGGGTTTGAAAAATTGAGTCCCATTTTATTAATTTAGGTAAACTGAGTCCCTCGTATAAAAAAGAAATCGGTAAATTGAGTTACTTGTATAAAAATTAAAGTGGTAATTTTAAATATGGTGAAATGCTGTTTTTTTATTTTTATTTAACAAACTTTTAAATATATTAACACAATTGTATACTACGTACATTAAACTTAAATTTATCAGTTATCACATATCACATACAGCGTTGTTGTAGTTGGGTACTTATATAAATGTTGCATAATATTAATACGGAGCGAAATATAATAATATTTAACGATGTAACGATAAGATACACTTACCTATCGTACTCGGTGAATTTATAACTGTATCAATAATTATATTTATAATTTAAATACATTTAAATAAATTTAATACATTAAATATTTTAGACGAGACTCAATTTGCCACTTCAACTGCTATATGAGGAACTCAGTTTACCTCTTTAAATTGAATACGTGGGACTCAGTTTACCAATTTCAATATTATTATTGGGACTTAGTTTACCTATTTCGAAAAAATATAAATTTGTTTGGGACTCAGTTTACCTACGCCCGTAAATTGTTTTATTTTATTTAAGTATTATTTTTGTGACTTGAGACGTAAAAAATAATTACCAAGAAAAACGAAAGACCTCGACTTAATAAGTTAAAATAATCACTTACTTTAATGAAATAATATTTTGTACGAAGTCGAAAGTTTAATTTATTGGTATAAACAAAATATAGAATGTGACGGAGTTATTATTCGAATTTAAGGTTGATATAATTTATCGTACTGACTAAAATTATATTGTTTTGAGAGTTATAAAATAAAGAACCGAAATATTTTCACTGACAATACCGGTATACTTTCTGTACAAAAATAATCATCATCTTACTGTTGCAGTTCCTTTGTTTATCAGTAATATATACCTTAAAATATTACGAACATTTATCAAAGACCACTTATTGAATATCTATCTATTCATTGTTATTTACTAATAAATATAGTAAAGAATATCATAATATAACTTGTACAGTTTGTATAGTTGTTACTTTAATAATTTGATTTTAAAATGTTATCAGAAATTATATACTTTATAGAATAAAAAAAAACTATCTTATAATTAGCCTCACTTTAATGAAAGTGTCCATTGTATATTCATATATAATAAACAAAAAAGAACACCCCAAAAATGGAAGAAAAATTTGGAATGACTTTTTTATAGATTACAAAACATACATTTTATTTGACTAGGTATCTATGTTTAAGCTATCTAATGCAAATGTATACTTTTTTTTATGGTAAAACTAAGTGTTGATGTATCTCAAAATAATTGTGTTTTTTTTTTCCAGTACATTTTCAAAATATTATTTAAATTTATAATAATATTTCCACGATTATATCTATTTATACTTTCGTGTCACATGAAGAATATATAATTTTCATATTTTTTTTAATTTTGTCGTATCATTTTATACTACAGCGATTATTTTATTTTAATTTATGATAATAGGCAAATTTCATGATACCTTGGATAATAATTACGTAGATGAAAACTATAATTGTATTTTAAGGTCGTTTGTCTAAAGTTTAATGCACTTACGTTATAACGTGTAAATAAATAAATAAATTATACCCTATATAACAATGAAAAGCCATAAAAATATAATTGAAAATGCATAAATAAAATATATTTTAATATTGAGGATTTATAATTATATGTGTAAGTATATAACTTATAAATCAACGAATATAATTTTTCTAATTTTTAGGAGTAAAATTTAAAGCCAACTGTTGTGTAGTTAAACATAATTCTATAAATTATATTGAAAATTTCTTGCTAGATCTTATGATAATAATACGTGAGGTAATAGTAACAGTTCATTTTATAAATTAATATTTGCTTACAAACAATCGCAGTGAATAATAAATCGATTATCTACATAATGAAAGTTACTATATAATAGAATTATAGTTAAATTTACATTAAATTTCAATACTACGGAAAGAAAAGAGCAAGATAAGGAAATATGCGATTAAATAATTTTAAGTGAAAGCCCGCACAAACAGATAATAATAATTGTATTATAATAATAAAAATAACAAAAATAATTTATAGACATAATAATAACATAAAAGTAACTATGATAATAATTCAAGGTGATGTTATAGCAAAAATCAATAAAAATAAAATAATTTAAGTGAAAAAAGTAATACATTTTGACATACCTTATGAGAAAGTATGAAATACCAACAAAAGTTTCCCAAGGGTGTAAATGTTTGTTGTTTTAACTGCCAAAAAAATTTACAAAACCTGATCAGCTAAACTTTCTGAGCTAAATTTTGTATAAAATATGTGAAAAAAATTAATTTTCATTTAAAATATATCATGATTCAAAGTTGATTGGTTTAGTAGAACGCTTTTTTCTA